TAGAAGTTAAATTAGTTTACAGCATTAAAACACTGAAATATATCCAACAGCATCTTGTTCCAGAAACAGGGCCGTTGTTTGTCCAAAGAACGGTTTTCATGGAGTAACCTTCTGCTGAAATAGCTAAGAAAACGGTTCCCCTTCAGTATCAACACAGAATTACTGAAGGTCCTGAGTTTTCACACACATTAGGAAGGGGTGTTCTACCACCTGCTGAGGCAACAAACAGTGTGAAGCAATGGACCATCTCCTGTGTTCAAAGAAAATGTTTGTGTAGAATCGGTTTGTTGGTTTACATTTAGTCTTTAATCTCTGCAACTGTGATCCTGATAATATTGAACTTAATACAAAGTCAAGAACACAAGATCTGTGGTTTGTGGTGTTTAATTATAAAACGTTCATGAAAAGACTCAATGCATACACAAAGCAAAAGGTCTCCACAGGCAAAGTTCAAAATCGGGCCTGAGCACTCCCTATTTATAGTTGTGCTATGCACTATTAGAATGTCAACACAGTGAGGTGTTTTGTGTACAGAACATGATGGCCTGTGTACCCGCTGCCATATTCTGACAACGGGCAGACTGCAACACTGCAGCACACAGGGCAGCGCCAGAATGTAAACTCATTTCTCTCTCTGCTGTGGAGTTTGGACAGTCGTTCAACCAATATCAGATGCAATCAATCAATTAAAATTACACTTGATTCAGAATTGATTTGAGATTCCTCCACACTGGTCAACTATAGGACCCCAGTACTGAGTGTTGTTGATTAGTTCACTGCCTCTACAGTCAAACTGTTCATGTCCCTGTCACAAATCATGCAGCTCAGACTCACTTGGTTTCGTTTGTCTTATGAAAAGGTTGTGCTGACTGCCAAAGCAGCTGAGGAGGAAGATAAAAACACACTGGCTATTTATCAACAAAACTGTGTGTGTGTGTGTGTGCGCGCATCACAGCAGTGCACTCTTTGTGTACAAGAGCAGACAAAGTGATTGGTGGAATGATGCTCGTAACTCCTCCCACCGCATCTCCAACTGGGAGGAGAGGCGAAGCAGCGCTGCCATGGCAACAGAGTCCTGAGATAATGCACGAAGATGGAGCTGCAAACAAAAACAACAATTAAAAAGGAAACAGAAGAGGTTTTCACAGCAAAAGACTGAAAAACATCAGCCTTAAAAAAAAATTCCTCACTGCTGCGTTGATTGTCTTACCTTCAGGAAAAGTGCCAGGTAAGCATTTGCCAGATCAAAGTCCCGCCCACTTGCCAACATGCTGTCAATCATGTAGATGAAGGCAAGTAGGATGCTGCTGGCTCCGCCCCCCTCTGATGTCAGACAGGTAAGCTCGACCGAGATCGCTGCTGGCCCGCAATCCTTCAGGAGACATATTGGGTGATCAACTAGAGAGAGAGTGAGAGAGAATCTATTATATAATCTTTATATTCTATATATTATCTCTTCTCTATATATTCTATATTATAGAATTGATTCAATTTACTTTGTTATATGTTTTTCTAAGTTCATAAATAAACACGTTTATAAAACCTTCAAAAATTGCTGAATATTTTCAATATTTTATTTAAAATTTATGTCAAAATTTTTTTCACAAAAAAAGAGAAATAAAACACAGAGTCCTTTTTCTTAAGTTTTTAGTTTCAGACTCACATGATCTGGACTGTAGAGCTGATTTTAGAGCAGTACTGAACTCTGAGCTCTGAGACAATGAACCCCAGCCCAGCACCTTTGACTGGAACAACAAACAAACAACACTGCATGAGTCACATGAGACTGAAATGCTCTGACAGAAGAAGAAGAGGAGGTCGGTCAGGTGTACCTGTGCTTCCCGTTCGGTTGCTGTGGGCAACGTGAATCGAGGAGTGAGACCAGGAAGTGTTGGCAAGAAGAAGGGAGCTGCAGCTGGAGCAGCAGGGGGCACTACAGGTTTATTCCTCTTCTACAAAAACAGAAAACATTTTATTTTGAACAAAAGAGTATCAGTAGAGCTTTTGATTAATCATTTGTGAATACATTGTTAAAGTAATGCTTGTTATAAAAAGACATGATCATGAAAAATTACACAAAATATGCCTTAAAAAAAAAAGAACTAGTAGCAAACCAAACAGCAGAAAGTCTGTGCACATTCTCAGTCATCCAGGTCATAGTAAACTGAAAAAACTTAGAAACCTCTCATCCAAGAGGCTTCATCAGTTCTGACTGACTGGTGTTGAGCCGGAGATATTTATCCCCCTCGGTGGTGTTTCAGTCCTTAGAAGGCCAACAATGTCCCCTAACGACTGAGTCTCTCCGATTCTCACCGATACTGGGCTGCAACGACTCAGTCGTTAAGGGAGGTGAAACGTCTTCGACCTAGAAATCTAAGTCCATTTGATTTTTTCCATGTTTTTTCAGCAAACAGCAGAAACTAACATTTTATTGCTGCATCTGACAAAGGAATTTATGTTCTAGACTAGGGGTTTTCAAACTTAATATTCAAGGTCCAGAATGACTGGTGATAAGCAAATGGCTTTTATTAAACTTTCTTATAACTTAGAAGCAACTTGCACTCACCGGCCACTTTATTAGGTACACCTGTACACACTTCAGTGCAACACTTCCACCTTAATATCTCTTTAGGAAGCTCAAAATGTTTCAGTTTTCAGTGGAATTGTCATAAATGTGTGAATTCAATTATATGTTTATATTGAAGTCATAGTTAAACGTGGTGTTGTACTGGACTACAATATATTCAGAGGTGTTCCTAATATTCTGACCCTCTCATGTACGTAGCCGGGGAGAAGACAATATAAATAAATAATGTAGTCTGGTTCAGCACCACCTTTAACTATTAAAGGGAGTTTTTCCTCCCCACTGTCACCAAGTGCTTGTTCAAGGGGGATTTGTTGGGTTTTCCCTATGTAATAATATTGGTAACAGTAAGGTCTAGACCTTAGTTTGTAAAGTGTCCTGAGATGACTTTTGTTGTGATTTGGTGCTATACAAATCAAATTTGATTTGATTTGACCTCAATAATAAACATATTATTGAATATATACATTTATGACATTTTCACTAAAAACAAACGTTTAGAGCTTCGTAACCAGAGATGTTAAGGTGGAAGTGTTGCACTGAAGTGCATACAGTTGTAAAGGTATACCTAATAAAGTGGCCTGTGAGTGTACATTCAAGTTTAAGGCAGTCTAAAACAAAATACAGCCAAGCCTAATGTAAAAATGCCGGTTTGACTGAGGCTCCAGTAGTAGCTCTCCCTTGCTGTGTCATAAATCTCACAAACAACTTGTTTGTTGACTCATAGGAAGATTTTACTGTCCTCACCTCTGGGTTCTCAGTATCTGTGCAAATCAAACACTAGGTCTAGTTAAAATTAGGGTATACTGAAGCGAAAAAAATAAATTCATCGTGAAAATCAGACCTATGAACAAGCTGCAAACTTTCTACGCATCTACTGGCCTGTGTATTGTAGAGATGGCCATCTGACACTGAGGCCTCGATACATGATTTGAGCTTGAAGAGGGATCTTCCACGAACCACTGCCTCGAGGCTTGTATCGTTGCCAAAAAGACGTGACTGATGACGTCCGACGCAGAAATGGCTGGCCTGAGTGACTCCCGTGACCAGTTCAGACCGTCGATACGGTGTCAGGACGCGAGATCTCGCTGCGCACGTCATGC